ATAATTATTTGGATCAGCGCCATCTAGCGGTCTTTATTTTTTGGCCAAAAGTGGCTCCTAAAATTCTCAATCAGAGCAATCAGGATTAGAGCCATTTAGTCAATTATAAACCAGCCGCAACTCATTTTGTAGCTATAAAATGAGAAAATAACAATACATGTGTTTTTGGCGGCAAGTTAACAATCTATCTTATACTTAAAAATTCATCTTTAAAAGTATAAATACATAGCAGGTCAATTTTTTGATAAAAATAGATTGTTAACTTGCCGCCAAAAACACATATATCGTTATTTTTTCATTTTATAGCTTCATCATAAGTTGCGGCTGGTTTATAATTGATTAAATGGCTCTAATCCTGATTGCTCTGATTGAGAATTTTAGGAGCCACTTTTGACAAAAAATAAAGACCGCTAGATGGCGCTGATCTAAATAATTATTACTATTTACGGTAAAGCCATTTTATTAGTTATAAACCAGCCGCAAATAATCTTATAAATAGACAATTATTAGTTGACACTTACTATGCTAAATGCGGCAAGTTTACAATCTATCTTTTATCCAAAAATTGACCTCTACAAGTAAACAAATATTCTACTTATCTTATACGGCTTATAAAATCTACCATATTTACAAAATTACAATACTTTGGACCTTTTACCATTAACTCATGGAAGCACAGCCCTTTAACTTTATAGTTCAAATAAACAGTTCACTTATATGATACGTACATACCAAGATTTGTGTTACAGAAATCTTGAAAAACGATCAAATATATACGTAAAGTAATCAGTCGAAAAGAGACAACTGAAGAAAAAAGGCTTTAAATAGAAGTTCAGTCACACAGGAAGAGTCTCCTAAAAATGGAGCATTGGATCTCACTTAATCAGAGAAGGTTGGGTTCTTTGTTTGTTTATAATACTTCAAATTTACTTCTCTGTAATAAATGTATTTTTCATTTAGTGAGATCCAATGCTCCATTCTTAGGAGACTCTTCGTGTGACTGAGCTTCTTTTTTAGGCTTTTTTTTCTTCAGTTGTCTCTTTTTGACTGATTAATTCACGTATATATTCTACTGTTTTTGATGCTAATTGAAACTTGTGCGTTATCGAACTTTGTTATTGTAATATTAAAACGTCACAACATGAATGTGTGATATATTGCACAGTAAGATATATGTATAATATGTACATAAGAAAAAAAAGATTACAGATTTCAACGACTCAAAGTTTTTCAATCCAATATGGACCATTACAACATTTTTCAGGAATCATCAAAATGAATTTTTTATACAAAACAACTTGCTGCTTGTATAATCATCATCAATTATTTGTTAAATGTTAAACAAATAAAGCTCTATGTTTGATTAACAAATTTTCTTTATTATCCAAATAAACACAAATCCTTAGCATAAAACTATGAATTTTCACATTCTGTATACCTGAAACAACTCTGATTAAGTGAGATCCAATGCTCCATTTTTAGGAGACTCTTCCTGTGTGACTGAACTTCTATTTAAAGCCTTTTTTCTTCAGTTGTCTCTTTTCGACTGATTACTTTACGTATATATTTGATCGTTTTTCAAGATTTCTGTAACACAAATCTTGGTANATTAAGTGAGATCCAATGCTCCATTTTTAGGAGACTCTTCCTGTGTGACTGAACTTCTATTTAAAGCCTTTTTTCTTCAGTTGTCTCTTTTCGACTGATTACTTTACGTATATATTTGATCGTTTTTCAAGATTTCTGTAACACAAATCTTGGTATGTACGTATCATATAAGTGAACTGTTTATTTGAACTATAAAGTTAAAGGGCTGTGCTTCCATGAGTTAATGGTAAAAGGTCCAAAGTATTGTAATTTTGTAAATATGGTAGATTTTATAAGCCGTATAAGATAAGTAGAATATTTGTTTACTTGTAGAGGTCAATTTTTGGATAAAAGATAGATTGTAAACTTGCCGCATTTAGCATAGTAAGTGTCAACTAATAATTGTCTATTTATAAGATTATTTGCGGCTGGTTTATAACTAATAAAATGGCTTTACCGTAAATAGTAATAATTATTTAGATCAGCGCCATCTAGCGGTCTTTATTTTTTGTCAAAAGTGGCTCCTAAAATTCTCAATCAGAGCAATCAGGATTAGAGCCATTTAATCAATTATAAACCAGCCGCAACTTATGATGAAGCTATAAAATGAAAAAATAACGATATATGTGTTTTTGGCGGCAAGTTAACAATCTATTTTTATCAAAAAATTGACCTGCTATGTATTTATACTTTAAAGAATTGCTAAGAGAAAATACTTATGTTTGGGTGTTTTATTTTTTTCATCTTTTTAATTTACAATCAGCGCCATCTAGCGAGGCAAATTTCAAAACGACGAAACAAAAAGTACCATATTTATTTTGCAAGAAATTCACTAAGAAAATTTACTTGACTGGTTTCCGGAGCGGAGGGGCCGGAGGGTCTATTAGAGCCGACTATTAGCATTTGCAGAATACAGCCACAATTTTTTCATTCTGGTAAAGAGAGCACGATGTAAGATATACGGGAAGTTATGTGTAAAAAATTGTAGTAATCACTACCAACTACTAAGTAGTGCCATTTGGTCGATTTTTTTAAACCATATAAGTAGAATACTCATACTTTTGAAGGTCAATTTTCAGATAAAAAATATATTGTAAACTTGCCGCAAAAAGCACAAACGATAGAATTTTTTTATTTTTCATCTACAGGATTAGTTGCGGCTGGTTTATAATTAATAAAGTGACTTGACTGTAAATTGCAATAATTATTTGGATCAGCGCCATCTAGCGGTCACAATTTTTTGACCAAAAGTGGCTCCCAAAATTCTCAATCAGTGCAATCAGGATTAGAGCAATAAATATGGTACTTTTTGTTTCGTCGTTTTGAAATTTGCCTCGCTAGATGGCGCTGATTGTAAATTAAAAAGATGAAAAAAATAAAACACCCAAACATAAGTATTTTCTCTTAGCAATTCTGATTGTTGTTTCGTACCTATAAGTTTTCTTCAATTCAAAATTGTTGTTGTAAGACGTACGTGTGTTGAATGCTTTTACAGAATAACAACTTATTTTCACGACATGTTGTGCATAGGTGTACCTCTAAACTTTAACTTTTAACGTGTAGCCAAGCAATATATCAAAAAGATAAAGAACCAAGTTCTGAGCATTATTACGTTTGATGCTAGGAATCTGCACAAATGTTATTTGCAGAAATGAGAGTTCAAACTTATAAAAGAGCAGTTTTTTATTTCAAAGCTACTGGTGTTTGCATTGTTGTAGTGAGGTGATTTTTAAAAATGACACGTTATCGTTTTGCCTCATATCTAGATTAAAGTATGAACAAATACGTTTGTCAACAATGAATAACCAGTATAAATAGTTGTTGTTATTCTTTTTTAAATAGTGGTGGATGGCTATTCTATCAAATGAGGCAAACGTCAGTGTTGCTCAATTCTGTAGTGCCAAAAACTATCCCTGAACTTGAGCGTACCAAAGCCCAGTATATTTACATCGATGATCCAAGATTTAATGGTAGATCAAACCCTATGATTTAATAATACAAAAATGTAAGGTGCATTTAGCAATATACTATTATGTACGTATTTCAGATATTTTGATGCTCCGGCATGCTAATAATTTGCATTTATCTGTTTCCTTGGAGAAACCAAAAAACTTATCTTATATTCTAACTAAATGGTGGAAATCCTTGAATCGCAAACTAGCTTTTCATTTCTTCTATGTATCTCAAATTGGTGACAAGGCAGAGAAAAGAAGAGCTTTGCAGTCTCTAAGTTCCTTAAAATACTTACAAGGTACTTATTTTTAAAATATCCTTCATACTTGTAACAACTGTAACACAGATATTAATAATGGTAATGAAATTTAATATGTAGACTGGCACTATCAGCAGATGGCTCAAAAATTAGATGCACAAACTGCTGTTGCTTTAGCACGATTACCTGAAGCTGATTTACGCTTTTTCTTAAAACCTCTTTACTTTCATCAACAATCTCCTCTCAACGTCAGTTGAAATATTTCTCTTTTAAAGAACAATCATAATGAAATATCTCACTTGAATATATAAATTTAAAATAATTTATCACTATGCAGGATGTTGGTGAAGCAATATACAATCTTTTGATGAAATTGAATGCATTGTGTGGTGGATGCCATCCATGTTTATTACAGTTTTTGCATGAAAAGTTTCAAAATTCTCAGCGTGTAAGTCGCAGTTGTTAAGTGAACCTTTACTTTCGAAAAATTATTATAATGTACATATCTCAACAAATCATGAAAAATAACACTCCATAAATCTTTGATACAGGAAACTTCTATTTTCGAACATGACTTGACCAACCTTGGACTATCTGTACCTCCACCCATAAATTGGGATCAGGACTTTCTGATAAACTGTGTCCAAGCAGTACATCATCATTCATCCTTGGATGAACACAGCAAAGGTAGATAAACGTCTTAGAGCTCAGTATTTTCAGCCATACATTGTATTTTAAATAAAATGTATTTGATTCTTTAGAAGTAGCTGATGCAGGGGGGCTACAAATTTTAATGAATGTCTACAAACTAATGAAAGATAATATTGAATTGTGTTCATTGATAGCTAAAATCTTATCAAATCTTTCTTTACATCCTGAATACTTACAAGACATTTTCAGATCAGGTAGAGGCATGATTTTAAATTCATTAAAAAAACTGAGATGTCAACAAATATATTATTGAAATGTATTGAAAGGCTGGATTGGAATTTTGGCTGCGTGGTCTCGTCACGAAGACATCAAACTCGCGGCTCCTGCAAGTCGAGCCTTGGCAAATTTGGATTTGGACGATGTTGAGAACGAGAAGTATCACCAAAGAATTTATCCCCTCTATCCATTGCATAGAACGTCTTTTAAAAAAAAGTTGGACGTTATTTTTGTACACGGATTGCTTGGAAGTGTGTTTGTCACGTGGCGACAACGTGACCTTGATAAAACCTTAGTATTACCAGGTAAATTTTGAGGTCTTGAACGATTACCGATAAAACTCCAAACTCTGGATGAAAAGAAAAAAAAAAAAAAACACCAACTGATTATAGATCCAAAAGACGAAGCTCAACCAATAAGCTTGTCAGCAATGGTAGGCGATCATCCCTCAGAGTTTTTGAAAGACTTGGCTCGTGACTTGGAGCATTTAGAATGGCAGCGCGTCGGTCACGACTATGAGGTGGTACTGCACGATTGTCCAGTCAACATGGATTACGAAATGTCGGGCCCATTCTTCTGTCAAGGGTGAGCAAGCCATTATACGCAATAAATGTATCCTTGCTTCATTCGCACCGCAACAATAGCACAATTGAAAACCGACTTACAAATGTATTTGCAACAGCGACGCCGAATGCATGAAAAAAAGCGTAAAGGACTGCAAGACACGCACGCAATGCTGGCCTAGAGACTGGCTGCCCGAAGACGTGCCGCATTTGCGAATAATCGGAGTTAATTACAGCTCCAATTTATCCATGTGGACGCCTTTGTGTCCAATCGAAGGAGTCAGGTGAGAAAAGTAATGAGTAATGATAATGATCAATTCAAGCGGGGCCTCGCTCATTTTCGCTCTTGCGTGTATTGTACTTGCATGCCAGGAGCACGTTGAAGGAGCGCAGCAGCGAGTTTACACGAAAGCTCGTAACTGCCGGTGTGGGAAAAAGGTCGATTGTTTGGGCGTGCCACTCGATGGGCGGACTACTCGTGAAAAAAATGCTCGTGGAAGGTAGACAATTAATGCAAATGATGCGTCATTGTCCGTTTGCTAGTCGTGCTTACGTTTCGTCATTTTCAGAGTGGAGAAACGGGGATAAAAATAATTTGCTGCGCAAGACAAAGAGTATCGCTTTTTACAGCACGCCGCACAAAGGAACTCGCGTCGCTGCCTTGAACCAAACGTCGCAAATGCTGCTCTGGCCTTCCATCGAAGTTCAGGAGCTGCGAGAACGTAAGGGCCGAAATTTATACGCGCATGAATTTTTTTCATATCTAAAATCTGCCTAATGAAATAATATGTGTGTACTGTGATAGACTCACCGCACCTGCTGCAACTTCACGAGGATTTCTTGAAAATGCTCCAGGAATACGATATTGACATTGTTAGTTTCGCGGAAACAAAACCAACGCGCTTCACCGCGCTTAAAGTTCCGTTCAGAATTGTTTCTTCCGAGTCTGCAGGTATTGGATCATTTATAAATGAAGGAATGTACAACTTTTCATTTTTTATGATTTTTATTAAACTTACAGATCCTGGTGTGGGTGAATTTTTCGAGATTCCCCAAGACCACGTATCGATTTGCAAGCCCGCTAACAGGTAAGATTTTTGTGATAATCGTTACTGTTATTATTTTTTTATTAAAAAAAAAAAAAGTAAAATCGAATAAAAATTTATGGTTTAAAATCATTGTACAGGCAATCGTTTCTCTATCAAAAATTTTTGGCTGTGATCAAACGTAATAGCACGAAAAATATCAACTTTTATTGCTTATCTGTATCAGCAGTTGCGGCTGGTTTATAATTGATTATATGGCTCTACTGTAAATAGCAATAATTATTTGGATCAGCGCCATCTAGCGGTCACAATTTTTTGACCAAAAGTGGCTCCCAAAATTCTCAATCAGTGCAATCAGGATTAGAGCCATTTAAATAATTATAAACCAGCCGCAACTTATGATAAAGCTATAGAATAAAAAATTAACAATACATGTGTTTTTGGCGGCAAGTTAACAATCTNATAATTAAAAAAATTATTTACAAACACATTGCTTTCACATCTGATCTAGTAACAAATACACTTAGACAGTTATAAAAAAGGAAAGAAAGAAAATAATGTTGTTCAAAAATTAAAGTCGTAGTCAGGATGATGGCGTGAGTAACTCGAGCCACTGGCGTGCGTCGGCGGATAGTAATATCCATTCCACTCGGACTTCCAGCTGTCGTACATGTTATACTTCCTCTCGTAGGGCAGTCCGTCAACTAGAATCTGTAATTACATTCCACCACCGGTGTGAGTAATCCTTATTTTATCCCTCGCGCGCACAAATACACCAAAAAAACTCGGTCGTTGCACACTCATCGTACCCCCCCCCCCTCAATCCCCAGCATATTAAATCTCATTCTCTGCGATTAAGCCTAGAGCGGTCCCCACTCCTCGGCCCGAAACTTTTGCAATAACACAAGAATAAAATTACCTTGTGGGAGGTCGACTCGTAGGGCTTGTCGTGCCAGCCGGAGTCGTTCCACGTGCCGTGGCTGTCGCTGTGTCTCTGGTAATCGCTGACCGGCGCTGGCGGCCTGGTGCTAGGGGTAGGCGCGGCCGCCCGGCCCATCGAGGTGCTCTTTGTCACCTCCTCGTCATAAATAGTGCTTATCGAGGGCTTGAGCTTTGAGCCGTGCTGTCGGTTTATGAGCTGCGAGTAAATAGAGACCTTGTATAAAGATGCATAATACGGCAAAAGGGGATCGTTGATAGTCTAAAAGGCGGAAGTGGATAATATATGTATGTATGGGTGCGGTAATGGCTCGGGAAAATTTTCGATAGTCATCGTTGCGTGGGTGAGGGGGATGACGACGAATTTTTACGGGGCTCCCTCGAGTGTTGGCTTATGAGACTAATCGATGTTTGTTGTCGAGGAGGAAGAAAAGGGACGTTGATCCTATGGAAACATACATCTAATATGCACAGTAAGGTGTCAAGTAGATAAGGTCACGTGTTGGGCGGACAGGAATTTTTTTTTTTTTTTTTAATCCTATTTAAAACAAAACCATGATGTTCAAAAACTCCAGAGAATATCGAAACACTGTACTTACGACAGAGACACCGAATATAACGATGAACAGTAGTCCCCCAACGCCCATGACTATCATCGCGATGGCCCACTGTGGGATGAACCTGTCGTCGTCTTGGCTGAGCTTCGGCGCAGTAATTCTTGGTATCACTATGAACAATAACAACAACAATAACAACAAAAAAGAATCAAGCGACGCCGTACAGATATTAGTATACACAGATATTTCATGTTCATACCAACAAAGTCCGTCGACGTGGGCTCGATCGTGAACCTGCCGAGTTTCACTGGGCCCTTCGGCATCGACTCCATCGGATTGTCCAAGCTAAAGGTCTTGAGCGAGTCGTGGAAGATGATTTTTAATTGCTGGGTGTTGATTTTTTCCTTGAGATCGGCCAACTCGACGAAGTAATCCACGAGAATGCTGCCCTGACTGGAACACCGTAAGCATGTTACACATGGTCCGTAGGAATGCCGAATCGGCCATTAAAATACTACTCACCTGAAGGAATCGATGCGAATGTTGCGGAACCACTTTCTCAGCAACGGCGACTTGGCAAACACCAAGTTCATCTGCGAAACGCGAATCGAACAAACTTGCGTGACGTAATATATAGAAGTAAAGAAGAAGAAGGAGAAAAAAAGAGCCACACCGACCTCTCTCTCGATCTCCTCGGCGAGGTCTTGCCACTCCCTGGTGTTCCGGTTGAGCAGCTCGGGCACCCAAGTCGCGTTCTCGACGATTCTGATGGTGCCCGCGACCTCGCACTCCTCCTCGCAGGTACCGGGCGTCGTCGGCCTCATGGTCGTCGTGGTCGTGGTCGTGGTCGTGGTCGATTCGACGCTCGATATCTCGCTCGTCGTCGGCACGTGCGACGCGTTGGACGACGATACGGTGGCCGTGCGCGCGGCCTCCAGGAGCTTCTCTATCGAGATGGGCGTCGTCGACGAGGTCGGCCAGCCCGTGAACTCGGTCGTAGCCCTTGAATTTTTTTTACACGTATAAGAACGACAAAAGCCATATACATACGCCAACTCGAGTCGAGCGGGGGAGGGGGGGGGACCAGTACCTCGTGGGCCAGCCCTTGTGTATCTTGGGCGAGGCGGTGTCCGGCCCGGCTCCCCGGTTGCTGGGTGGCGTCGTTATCTTGTGCACGGGCTTGTTCCTGCCCCCGGGCCTGCTCGGGAAGACGAGCTTGAACAAGCCGGCTTCTCCCGTGGACTGCCGCGTCGCCGGTCCTCCCTTGGCCGATGGGTCAAAGCCCGCGGGTAGCAGGGACGCTATGTCGACCTTGGATTTAGCCAGGAGCTCCTCCACTGGGTTGACGATGCTTTGGTTTTCTGCGCGGGACATCACGCGAATTACGGAGTTTTATTTCGTGGAAAGCAAAAAAAAAAACTCGGCTATACATGACTATTGTGAATCGTACCTAGCTTGTATCCGGGTGGTAGGAGCGCCGACACGTCGACCGACGATTTCGCGAGGATCTCCTCGACCGGGACTATCGAGACGTTCGGTTTGGGGCTGCTTGTGGCATCTGTGGGGAAGGGAATCGCGTGAGCTAGTTGTTTGTATCTCGGTACGGATCGTTAAGTCACATACCGGGCTTGTAGCCTGGGGGCAGGAAGGCCGAGATGTCGACCACGGATTTCGCGAACAGATCCTCGATGGATTTGGGTTGCTGTACCGGAGGTGGCGCCACGGCCTCCTTGGGCTCGCTGGTCTGGCCCTTGGCTTCGACCTCGAGTCCTTCCTTTTTCACCTTGTGGCCTGGATTTGGACACGAAACAATTTTCAATCTATTGTTATAAATAGCTCCGCGTACCATATATAATATACGTGGCAAACGGAACGAGTGATTCAAGGCTTGTTTGTTTGAGTTGAGTAATACTATCGCGTAAAACGTACGCGCGCGTGCCTGTGGATGTGGTTCAAAAGTAAGAGTAAATGGCAACTTGCCCACAGTCGCGCTTTGAGCGGATTACGCGATCCGACGCAACAACGGAGCTTTGCTCGATCCCGTAAGTGTAAGATGGATCATTGGGGATCAAAACGAATGCACGAAAAGTATCGTTTGTACGTAGACCTATAACTCACCCAGTGACTGGATGGCACTGGTATTTGCGATGTCGGCAGGATCCTTGACCCGAGTTCCCTCGGTCGAGGCCACCGGGGCAACTTTGGCAACTGTAGTGGTCGTCGTGGTGGTCGACGAGCTGACGGTCGTGGAGGTCTTGTACGACGGTCTCTTGTTGTACGAGCTCCTGTAGCCCTTGTAGTCCTTGGGCAGGAAGGCCTCGACGTCCTCGAGGGTCGTCTGGAACTTGGGCCTCTTGGTGGTGGAGCTCGTGCGGTAGCCACCGCCCCGGGCAAAGTCCTTGGGTAGGAAGGCCTCGACGTTGTCGAGGGTCGTGTGGACGCGTGGCCTCTTGGTCAACTGGGGCGGTGGTGTCGTGCTCGTCGTACCGTTGATGCTCTTGACGTAGCCCTTCGGGAGGAAGGAGGCGATGTCCTCGAGGGTCGTTTGGACCTTGGGCCGTTTCGTTATGCTCGTTATGTTGAGCGGAGGTATGGGCGGCGAGGTGGGCGCCACGGTCGTCGAGGTCGTCGGTATTGCGAAGGACGCGGGCGAGTAGGGCTTTTTGTTGTAGCGCCGAGGCGTGAATCTGAGATCGATATCGGGTATGACGTTCGGTTAGAGGTCGCGCACATTTATCATTGGGGAAAAATTAGATTATTCGGGACACTGTAGATACGCATATATTTATACACGAGCAATGGGCTCCAAGCGGGTGAGCTCTGAGGCGTAAAGATCGGCACACACAAAGTTTAGATTCGGGGAGCAATTCCCCCCCCCTCCTCCTCCTTCTTTATAAATGCGAAACACTGTCTGTGCTCAAGTAGATGTTATCTTTGTAATTAATCAGCGAGTATGGCGAAACAAGAAATTACAATAATCTCGCGGTGTGCGTTTATATTTATACACATGTCTGGTAGACTTATGTGTGTATTTATCGGAATGTGCAGTGCTGTGAATGTATTATGTCCCATATAAATATGTATTCAAAAATCCTATTATTAGGCATGTTTTTATTTTTTAAAATTTTGTTTCAACTTTGTTACTTGGCAGTAAAATTCTTTCAATAAACACTTGGAGGAAAAACAATACCAAGGCATCCATCATCTCAGTAAGTGGCACACTTTAAGCGTCATTTTGGTGACGTGTTATGGAACGAAAGTTTCAATGGATGACAATGACATCTAAGTCTGTAAGTGCTCACGGCAAAAAATAAAAACGAAGAAAAAAAACCCTCTCTCTCTCTTACCGTTCATTGACCAAGAACCCACTGGAGAGTTCGGACTGCACCCTGTCGAGCTTGTCGATGATACTCTCCGTGGAGTCGAGCTGCTCGGCTTTGTCGACCACGGACGGGAAGGGTAGGTATCTCGCCCCCGAGACGCTTCGGCCAGTCTGCACGGACTGATGAATCGTCGAAGTGGGCGTGAACTCTGTCGTCGTACTCGTCGTTGACGTTGTACTCGTCGTTGACGATGTATCTGTAAGCAAGGTAGGGCGTATTGTGTGTCACCGAGTATGACCAAACTCGACCCGTGACTTCTTAAATTCGTCGATCGATCGCAAAATAGTATATAATAAACCCGGTTACAAACGAACCAACCATTGTCATCGGCAGCAGCTTCATTCCCAGGGTCGGTCCTGGCAGCGGTGGTGCTAGAGCTGTCTACCTCTTGCTCCTCCTCCTGAATCTCCTTTTCCGTCGACGGGAGCATGGGTGTCGAGCTGGTCGTCGTCTCGGGCACCGAGTACGTCCCGTTGACGACGCTCTTGGTCGTGACGACACTAACGATCGCCTCGCCGATCAAAATCGAACTTGGTTTGCTGCCGTTGTTCGCCTTTTCGCCGGCCGGTTTATCCGTTACCTTCGACTCTTGCGAGTTTATTGGGATATCGGCCGACTCCGAGGACACCTGCGCAGCATCACGCTCGAGTTAACAAAGAGAGAAATGCCGATTTACTGGCTAAACGCGCGAGCGAGCCCGGTACATGCGTGTGTATCACGTAAAAAAGTGGCACACACGTCTCATTTTTCCATTCCACCTAGTTCTTGATTTCACAAGTAATCAACATTGTTATCCCATATACCTATCTGCTTTCTCGAACCGTTTGTTTATTCCGTGTTTTTGTTCCTTCGGGTTTAAATTACGAAAGTATACGAAAAACCCCCCCAAATAATCGGTGTCGCGTGGACAGTCGAACAAAACCAGTGTACCTTCTCCGATTGTTGCTCATCTTCCTCCCTCGGCTGTTCCCGACCACCATCCTGGGCTCCGATCGCTGCCCCGGTAGCTTCACCCGAGTCCGACTGCGCCTCCCGACTCGGCGACGGCTGTTCCTCGTAGTCCTCGTCGTAGTAGTACGAGTCCTCGTTAGCCGCTGGCGCTCCACCAGCGTCGGGCCTGGCGATCAGCTTGGGCTCCCGGCTATCGGCCAACGGCTCTCGGGCCGGCGCCTCGTCGTAGTACTCGTCCTCGTCGTAGTACTCGATCGATGCGGACTGCTGCTGGTTTTGGGAGGGGAGCGCTCGCGGATCGGCCGACAGCTGCTGGAGCACCGGGCTGTAGGCGCGCACTGCCGGTGAGGTCCAGGTTGGCTCACCTGTAATAATCATCACGTGTTTTTTTTTACGTATAGAGAGTTTTTGAGACGCGTGACGCGCATATGCACTGCACCGATGTTAATAATAATCGCCTGTGGGTTATCTAGGATGGCATGGAGGACGTCGTCGTGCTCTGTATAACACCACACACTGGAGGGCCGTGTTTGTACAGCTCTCTTATTTTTCTGGCGCGCGGCGGAAAACAACCACAACTCTGGTGTGGTATAAGACATGTACCGGGTTTTATGCAACGAGAAGTATGAACTGATTACCTACTTTGGTTTTTTTTTTCTTTTCTTTTTGTTGAGTTAGGTAAGAGAGTTTCGCACGCGCGCTCGAGTATCTTACATTAACGCTTCGCGAGTCTCGCGAGTTGGGTATAGGTGTTTCTTATACTGAAAAAAACAAGGAAGATGATGCCAAGGTTTACAGTTGGTTGTTTACGAATACGGCATTCCGAGTTTTGTGTACACGAGGGGTCATTTCGTATTGGTCGGAATCTTTGGGAATAAATCACCATACATATTTGTGTTGTAGTATACCTGTAAAAGTTTTTGACCAAAGTATACCTATCTATACAATTAATAGGAGCACTGAGTTTCCAATTTTTGCGCGCCAGTAACTCAAGTTTGGACCAAAGTGAGAAGTCGAGTTTCGAGAACCATCGGTGTGGAGAAAGAAAAACGTTAAGAGATCCGATCTTTGAATAAAAATCGGTACAGTTTAGGAAACAAAGAGAAGCAAGTCATCGTTTGATACGTGACTTGGTTCTTTATTGTCATTTACTTAAGGAAATCTTGTTATAGGTAACGTTCAAACGTTTGGCGTTTCTTAAAATCAAAGTTTCATCGCAGAGTCGCGTTCCCTTCCTGTTATTCCCATAAAACGCCATCGACACAACATAAACCATCCCAACCGATGTCAGTAACAAAAATAAAGAAAAAAAAAACAAACAAATACCGGATACGTATACATAGGTACAACGACAACGTTATCCCGTCTCATTTCGGCATCTCAAATTTTCCCAAGGTACATTTCCTAAGCACGCCCCTTCTCAGAGAGACCGCGACAGCATTGTCCGCGCGTGCACGCGAATATAACTCCATCAAACGCTGTTGCGACAACTGCGCCGTATATATGTATACTTTCCGCAACAATCGCATGTATAGGTGGTACTTTGATACATCAGTGTATCTGTATACTATATGCGCTTTTAAGTGCACTAGTAAAATGGACCGGTATCACAACGTCAGAGATCGGCATGGTTGCGTGCCCACACGCGGGAACAACATGCGTCAGTGGCAATGTCAGTTTTACCATTTGATTGACCTTAATGACTTGATTATCGGCCGTACCCCCTAGGGCTCGTTATATGTATACGTGGTGTTGTCCGTAGGTAGGTGCAACCATACGTGCATGGCCTACAGAATCTATTGCTCAACGTAACGTGTGTGTCTGCTGATTCATCCGCGTCTCGAGTGGGTGGACTTTGGAGGAGAAAAAAAAAAACGACACATATACGTATCCATCCACCCATACAGCTAACGTTGGCTTTGCTAAGCTATATATATAGGGTGTACACGAGCGAACGCGCGCGTTTGTCTCCCCCTCCTCGGAGTTCGATGAAATTTCGTAACTGTACCGATGTCTGTATCCTACATCCATATGCTTCGAGACGCGAGCCGAGTTGCGGTACCCCGTGTTATACGTATATATAATGTATATCTCTATAATGTACCACATTATGAGTCTCTATTTTTTTTGTTTCTTCCCGAGGTACGTAAAAGTTTCGAGAAAGAGATAAATTGCTCGTGCGGTTTATTGGCACAGAAATCGGTTCTCGTACATTTAGGGATTACGTCTCGGATTCGATTTACGGGCGACACCTTTTTTTTGTTTTATCATTACGATAGGGTTTCAACAACTGCCGGGAGACCCGGTTTCCCATCGGCGGAAGAATATATACTCCCATCCTCGCCCATGTACTTCGATGATCAATACTCTTATGGCCAACAGTATATAATATACCTGTAGCTTCGTTTTCAGGTATTTTTATTGTTGCGCAACGCGCGCCGACTCTATCAGCAGAAGTGAAAGCACAGCACACGCTTGTCTTACCTACGAGACTTTTTTTGGAATTTTTAAAAACTTTTTAACGTGCATTGATAATTAATAACACATTTACCGCTAAGCTACTCTGACGCAGGTTCTTAAGAACACTTCAATGTGGTCTTGTTATCTCAATGTCTATTGCAAACGCGTGCATCATATAAACGTACCTATATCATAGCTATCAATTTTGGTTATTAAAACGATCTATTTCACAATGTATATAGTGCGGTTTATTGGCCAGTTGACAGTTTATATTGTAATGGGAGTTGTACTTATTATATAACTAAGGCAAACCACATCGGTATAATTAATTTGGTCGATAATAAGTATACGGTATTTATATCTTAATAGAAGCGGCGCGTGTCCCGTTAACGAAGCGCACGTACGCGGATGTATATATGCGCGTATAAATTAACATGTCACATATGTACTATATTTTAAGCTTTTCGTCAAAGTAACGAACATAATTATACGAACGACACATTGTGTACGAATTATCCGATTGCCATGTTGTCAACGTGCCGATTTTTACTAATCGTAACGATCAAGCTGGTCTTTTCAGGTAGGTGCATCATCAATCATTATCTTAAGGAAAGAGGGACGTTTACGAATACGAAAAATCTCTACCTCCATGATTTATGAAAGTATGAAAGATAAATCATAGTATGTACTTTATACATATGTGTATTGACGGAACATCGTTTTTGTTTGTTTTCTATAGTTTAAAAACGGAGGTGCAACGTGTGGGACTATGCATGTTATGTAATAGGAAAAAAGGCCCTTTTAAAGTCGCTTCAAATTTTGTTAGGATAACAGGACTCTGCCCAAGTATAATAAGTTATCACACGGTAAGTATTTACCGTCAAAACGAGTGAAATGTCGCAAGTTGCATTTAATTTGTCAAATTGGCCGAGAAACCCCGCGGAAAACCGGCTAATTTGTCTCTGCGGCGAAAACACGAAGCACCGAAAAATTACACGAGATCTTAAATTTTAACGCCGAAATTACACATCACGTATACATTATGTACACATATACAGGTAGAAGATTAAGTGCTCTTATGCATACACACGTAAAGTGTATAAAGTATTCAAGCTTCGAGAAAATAATGGCACAAATCTTTTTTCTCTGTTTTCGACATTCGCGTAATGAGTGCTACACGTATATACATAGGCGTATCTTCACACCGCGAGCAGCTTCTGAGAATAGAAACACTTGGCAATAACCTCGTAGCATACATTACACACCTATATGGATCGTGGAGTTAAAAATTACTCGTGCTTACGGTAAAAAAGAAAAAAAAAAAAAATTCACGCTTCAGGGATTCATTATACGCGGTCAATAGCTGTACAACGTGTAAAATACGACGCAACGTGACAATTTGTTCATATAAATTAAGTTTTTCTTAAATATAGGACACGGAAGATATGCCTATATCTACACCCTTTGCAAGGATACACCGTGTTTTTATACACGTACAGTAAAGAGATACACGCCTACCCTTCTGTATTATTAGCCAACAAATATATCCGATCGCCAAGCATAAAGTTTGAAAATTAAAAACAAATTACATATGGCTATGCGTAATCATACATCGTTATGTGTATGTATAATGAACCGAGCAATCAATCATCAACTCCCCTTCGTTGGGCATTGTAATATCGCACATACCACATTTACATTCCGTCGATAGCTCGATCCTTTCTTTATTGCCAACCACCGACGCACTTAACGAATGGAAAGTGCTCGCGGGTGTATTTACAATATACACTCTCACACATGGCTGAAACCCGTAAGACTTTCAGGCCGCTTGTTGAAATACTATAGTATATGGACGAGCCTTTGTGTCTCGGCTGCACATATTATACACTGCTATATACTGCTGCAAGTGAGTGCTGTATGTGCAGTAAATACATTGCACAGAGGCATAATATATTATATTATACGCACACACATAAACGACCACCGCAGCTATAGCTGCTCTGGTGTTAATTTATAAATCATATGTATAGGAAAGGCATATGACCATCGTTAATGGAAAAAAAAAGAAACTTGTACCCTTTTATATGTATTATACGTACAAGGCACGACTGGTGTGTTCGTTACCAGAGCAAAAAAGTATGATACGAGTAATTGCATCGTGCATGATGTTCTCTATGCAAATTTTATATTTAAAATAATCTTGAGGGATAAGATTTACGATGGTAAAAAATTGATTTTCATTTCAATCCACAACCCTTGTATTTGTCACTTTGTCGTAGTACATCAATATTACCTATTGTGATGCGTTAAAAAAGCTTATGCGATTATTTAGTTGTTTTCTATGTTTGTTGAGTTGTATTGAAGGAACCGAACATTTTTTTCTACGGCCCTCGCCATCGTAGTGAAAGAGCCACGAATTTTTTTGACGTTCTACGTTGACAATAAAGACGACGCGCAGAATTTTGGTACTCGAAACTGTAGTACATAAAACGCTCCTTGTGGTGTACTGCAAGATTTTTTTTTTTTTTTTTTTTTTGGGGAGGATCAAGAAAAATAAGAGTGCTAGCCCTTTCGACCGGTGCCATTCCATCATCTAGAGATTTCTCGCTCTCATTGCGCAACAAACACTCGGTTCGATATCAATTTTTCTCGAGTCTCGTGCTCTTTCGATTTGGACTAATGATTACAGTCCTCTGGAACACCGTACTCTACAATCACGTTTCTGTAATATTTATGTAACGAATCTTCACCGGGATGTATACCACCGTAAAAGCTACCTGTACAATATAATCCACCCAACTAATAGCTACATCCAATTATCTGGCCTGAAAAAAGGTGGGCACGAATTTATTAGGTAATCGAAAAAAACAACAACAAAAAGGGTACCCGGTGTACTCCTGTACAA